CCGCGGGACAATCAAGTCGCGGATTGCCCCAGTGTGATCCGAATTTGATGTAAGACCGAAAAACTTCAGATCTAGAAAAGGGAAAACCGAAACCCTTCTGTTCCTGGATCTTTCGTCTCTTGTGGCCTATCGGAGGTATATAAGTTGTTCAGACGACGTTTATTCTTCATCCGTCACTGCCCACATGAGTTGACAATGGTGTAGGGCCCAGACCGGGGTATGGCATCGAGAAAACCCTGCGACAAGAAGATCCGGCAACGATGAGATTTTGAGAAGCAACTATGACAGCCACAATGCCGATTAATAGTCAAGCGGGTAATCCGAGGATATCCAAGTCTCTATGACATCTCCTAGATATTTTGTTGGGTTTTCTCTATTTTCTTGAATTCGTGGTATGAAGATATGTTTCCTGTGTGAATCGCCCAAGATTTCGTGTAAGTGAGCCATGAAAAATTCAAAGACCCCTCCCTCCCCTCCACCAGGTCCCGACCCCCGACCAATTTTCCTCATACATCGGCCCCACACCAGCTCGAGTCAATGGTACGTACCTACCCTGCCACGCCTGTTCAACGTCGCATCGCAGCGCGGAAGAAAGTTAGGTCCAGCATCTCAACTTCTTTCTTCACTTATAACAGCCTTCACCACCTCAACCACAGAAGTCTCAGCTACACACCCCGGCCGAAATACGTGAAGCCTCTCTCCCTACATCCTCTAACCCGACCCGACGAAGTCCAAGTCCCTCCGGGCCCATGCAATGGGCTGACCTCCGAGGGCTGCGCAGCTCGACCCTCAGAGTTGCCCGGATGACCACAATCGCAGCCCGACGACGGCTCCCGCTGTTACAGCAGCTGCCGTTACCACAGACGCCAGCAACTACACTCCGACGGTTCTTTCGCGCAGACCACGGCCCTGGCAAACGACTCTTCTCGACCCAACCCCAGCGCAGCTCACCCGACGATAAATGGGGCAAGAAGAAACCGTCACGGAGAGAGGAGCCCAAGGCAAAGCCGCCTTCGCTTTTCGAGGAGCTATTTCCAAACGATGACATTTACTCTCACCCGAGTCATCGGGCCAGCGAGCAGGACGATGGAGAAGGCAAGGGCAAGGTCAAGGTCCGGTTCCTGACCTCCACCGACCCGGAAAAGTCCGAGGCGACAGAGTACAGACTAAGGCAACTGGAGCGCAAGAACAAATCCAGCAAGACAGGAGGCGAGGCGGCCGGCAAGATTGCAGACTTTTTCGAGTTGAGCGCGCGTGAAAAGAAGAAAAAGGACAAGGCCGCCGACGGACAGAGCTCCTCCATCTTCAACGAGCTCTTCTCGTCCCCAGGATCGGGAGAAGCAGAGTCGGCGGCGGAAGCAGTGCTGGGCAAAGGTGGCGTCGAGGCCTTATTGAGGAAATCTCAGGCTGGCCAGAACTCATCCGAAGAGCGATCTGTAGATCACAACGATCTCCAATCCTGGCTCGACTCCCTTCCGAAAGACGACGCCGCCGCCGACACCGCCTCCTCGGAAGCAGCATCCCCAGAGGAGGCGGCAGCGGCCAAGGGCGAGCGCTCCGCCATGCTCATCCTCTCCAACGCCAGCCCGAATCTCATGGAGTCCGACTTCTACCGCATCGGCCCCCAGGGCCAGCACCTCGACGGCTGGAGCGCCTCCATCACCAAGGTCATGCAGGCCTACGACTACGGCACCCTGGCACCCATGGACCGCTACTTCATCCTCTTTGACTCCCACGCCGCGGCAGCAGCGTACCAGCGTGAGGCGCAACGCCTCCACGCCCTCGCCGGCCGCGCCCTCGCGTCCCCCGCCGCCGGTCTGACGCCCGCAGAAACCTCTTCCGCATCCTCCCAAACATCAGTATTTAGCCTCGCACCCCCCTCCAAGACGCCCCTAAACCTCCACCTCTACAAACTCAACCGCGCTACCGAGGCCCGCCTCGAGACTTTCAGCATCCAAGGCCTCCTCAGCATGACCCCCGAACCGCCCCCGCGCGCAAACGCACACGTTGTCCTCTCCCTCGACGGCGGCACCCTCGACCAGCGCAGCCTCTCCCACTGGATCCGCCGTGACGCCCGCGACCGCAACCTGGGCTGGCCGGTGCAGCACCTGCGTCCGTACTTTGCGCCCAAGGTGCACCAAAGAACCGCGACGAAGGCGGAAAAGCTTACGGAGACCGGGGAGGGCCTCGTCTACGACGAAGACGATGCGGCTCCGGCGGTGACGGAGGGCAACTCGGGACGGAGAGGCACCACCCCCGACGCGCTGGACGAAACGGCCCCGTCCGGCCGGTTCGTGGTGTCGTTCCCGGACGTGCACGAAGCGAGGCGCTTCGTTCGCGCGTGGCACAAAAAGGAGCTTATCCTGACGAATGATCAGAGCGTAATCGTAAACACGCATGTAGTGTGGTAAATGTCACAAGTAGCAGCGACCGTCGATAAAAAGTGTATAGTAACTCTTTGTAAGATATACCCGGGAGCATGTGTACATCAATAAAGGCCAAACAAGCATATTTGGAGCACGGGAGAGGGAAAAAAACGATGTATTATAAAAACCCAGAAATAAAATCCCGAAACTCCAGACCAGATATTTGCTCTCTAGGGGGGGTTCGATAAAAAGGCGCTGTCGGCAAGAAACCACATGACAAATACTTCTCCCCGTAGGAAGGGGGGCTTGAGGGCAGGTTGGTGAGCAAGAGAGCGCCCGCGGTGTTTCTCGTCATCGAGCACACATACAACGCACGCCCAGCCGGTCGGGCCCATCACCAAGTTTTTCCCTTTCTCGGCCAATTGCCTCGCCGGAAGCCCCGGTCCTGCCTCTCGCTTGGCCCCTGTCATGTCCTCCTCTCTCTCACCGAGTTTCTCTGCGTGTCCTTTCCGGCGAGCAGACCCGCTGTGAAGCCCCATATGCCAATGTCTCTCTCTCCTTCCATGCGCGTCTTCATGTGCCTTTGTAGGACGTCGCTGTCCCCGGCGGCAGCGCGGAATCGACACAAAGTAATCAAATCTTGCTTTCAGAAAATACACACAACATTGAAATCGAGCGGTCCCGTGCCCAAGCCCCGTTCCGTTACTTTAGCAGCACTTTCCGCCGGCTCCACTTGACTCGCCGACGTTAACGCCCGAGGCAGCGGGTTGCTCGTTCTTCTGGTTGTCGATTAAACGCTTCTTGATATCGGCGGCGAGTGAGTAAAAGGCCTTGTCGATGTTGATGTTGCTCTTGGCTGAGACCTCGAGGAAGGGGATGCCGAGCTCGTCGGCGAGCTGCTGACCGCGCTCGGTCGAGACGACACGCTTCTCTTCCCAATCGCACTTGTTGCCGATGAGAATCTTGTTGACGCCCTCGGTGGCATGTTGCTCGACATTGGCGAACCAGGTGCGGATGTCTGCGTGGGAAAAGTACACATTAGTCTTTTGTTCTCATATGTCTGTCCTATTATGTACGGTTCCATTTGCAATGGCAACTGCAGTACACGGTTCGAGATAGAACCGCCAGCAATCGTGCAAGTGAGTCCCAATGTAAGCGAAGGGAAACGACGTACTGTTGAAGGAGCGCTCGTCGGTGACATCGTAGACAAGGAGAATGCCCATGGCACCACGGTAGTAGGCGGTGGTGATTGTGCGGAAGCGCTCTTGGCCGGCGGTATCCCAAATCTGGAGCTTGACACGCTTGCCGTCCAACTCGATGGTGCGAATCTTGAAATCAATACCGATGGTCGTGATAAAGGACGGCGTGAACGAGTCTTCGCTGAAGCGCAACAGGCAGCAGGACTTGCCTACGCCCGAGTCGCCGATCAGCAGAAGCTTGATCTGGGGTGCTGGTCAGCCACATGTGAACACGATGTCATGTTTGCCCTTCATAATGATTCGCACGGCGGAAGGGGAAAGTAGGATGTTCGAAAGGACGGGGTTCGAGGAGAGTGAGGGCATCTTGAGCGAAAAGGGCGGGACGATGGTAAGGAGGGGCAGCGGCATTCGACACATACAAGGAAGTCGTAGTTGCGGTTGCTCGACATTTTGGCGGCGGATGTTGATGGGGGACTAAACCGAGGGGGCCGATCTGAAGGGGGCGGTATTGCTGCTCCGGGCGACGTACGTGCCAGACGAGTTGAGATCGGGAGGATGCGAATGAGAGGGTGATTGTCGTGATCTTGTCGTCGGATTCGGGCAGCGGTTGGGGGGAGAGGCGATTGAGATGTTGGTAGGAGATGGGCCTAGGTAGTTTGTCGTAGTTAGGTAGGCGGTAATAGTAGTAGTATGTACGAATAGTGAAGGTAGGCACGTAAAGTGCTGGGCTGCGGACGAGGCGAGGCGCTGCAATGTACAGTCCAGCACACTGTGAAGAGGCACGTATCCCCGTACGTAGGTAGCGTCGAATCGCTTGGTCTCTTTGGGGGTGTCAAGTGTGGCGCCTGCCGTCTGGGGTAAGATACTGGACCCGGCCCTCTTGCTTGGCCGATCCGACTTGACCTGTGCTTATGCTGGGACAGGGCTTGAGGGATTTGGTGACTTGGCGGTGGGCTTTGCAGGCTACTTGAGGTAACAGCGGTCTTGGGCTGGAAAGCCGGTACCTGCTGCAATGCGAATCCCGCTGCGAAGAAGTGTTCTAATCAAGCCCGCTGTTGATATCCGGAGTGGCACAAATCAACTGCTTCCGGCACTAGGCAAGGTAGGCCTCGGTGAAATCAGATAGCTAAGGTAGTCACGACTCACGGTATCTACTAAGCTGCCCAAGGCACAGTGCCCGCCAAAGAGAAAAGACGCGACGACGTCGGATCTGCGTCGGAGGGGAGCGAAAGGTTAAAAGAAGCAAAACTTCCCTGGTCGATCCAGGCACCCTGTTGCAGAACACCAAGTGAAATTTTGGGGAACAAATACACGGGCGGCACCTCAGCGTAATTCTATGATGGCAACCATCCGTGGACGGTCCTGGCTGGGTATTACCAGGCTCGCTCACCAAAGAAGCGATATGCCAACAACACCTCAGCCACCAGGTAACAAAATGTCCGCCAACCTAGTCGTTATCTCAAAACTTGATGCGTTGTCTCTGCCGTGGCACTACACCCCTTTTGCTGCCAAATGTGCTCGGTCTCCCGCCTTTGCCAGACTTGTCAGGACTCAGGAGGCTACCCACGAAGCCACACCAAACGTCATCGCACTGTCTCGCCTCAGGGTCCAGGTCCAGATCCATCCAGAACTGAGTCACGCGTCCGCCGCCCGAGCATCCTGGGTGGCGGTCGTTCCATGGTCACAAGAGACATTGTTGAGCCTCCCTCACGTTCACTCGCTGGCCAGTACGTCACCCGTTCAATTGCACTTCAATTCGACTTTTGGTCTAAACACCTTTCCTAGTGACAAATGCCGCCTGCTAAGCTCCGGTACCAATGTGCGATGCTCCGTTGACAATTCATGAATGCCTCCAGTGGTGTACAGATGTGGTACAGGTTCCACCGAAAAAGGCCGTTCCCGCTGTGCGTAGTAAAGTAACCTGAATGCTGAAGCTCAAATCCGTAAGACCGTGTATCCATGCGAATCATTATTGCGCCCGAGGTTCTCCGTCCTGCGTTGTTTTACTGTAGCCACCTGGCGTACGCCCAGCGAATGCGATCCAAAGCTCTAACTTGCACCTGAATCCCCTTCAGGTTGGCAAGATCATCCAAATCCTCGAGGAACTCACGCTGCCTGTCGCGAGGTAGCACTCTCTGCATCAAGTTGCGCAGCACGTGGACTTCGCACAACAGGAGGCCGTGATCCTTGTAGGAGAGGAGGTTGTTCTGAGACGGCGTCGCCTCTGAAAAGATCCGGTCAATGTTGCGTAGCACTCTGATGCTCTGTCCAGTCTTGCGGCTTTGCCGGGCTCCCTTGCGAGCACCAAAGATGCCGCGAAGATACTGAACAATGCCAATAGAGACAAGCACACCAGGCGTCAGACCTACAAACCCAAACACCAGTTCCTGGCTCTTGAGGAGAGAGTCGATGCCGCTGATGGCCACCTCCAGGTCGACCTTGGTCTTCTGCACTTGGATGAGCAGTGATCGGACGAGGTCGCCCTTCACCGCACCGACAAAGGGGGTCCGCAGATCCTTTTCGTACGCACGCAAAACCGGGGTGACGTCTCCCTCGCTGACCTTGGTGCGGATAACCTCGATCTGGGCGTCGGTAAGGGAGGACCCGTCACCTGCAAAATGGGGCTTGTCCAAAGCAAAGTCCACAACCATGCGCTCCAAGCTTTCCCGATCGGCCTTCAGGCTGTCTCGGCTCATGATGGCGATCTCGCTGCTCGAGTCGTGTCGAATAGTTCCAACAATCTTGCGTGTCGGTTCGATAACCCAGTTGAACCAAAAGTCTCGTACCGTAGATCCAATGTCCCGAATCCAGCTGATTATTTCTGCGCGTCTATTGGCAAGAAGTCGAAGGACAGTCGTCGAAGAAAGCAGTGCTGCTGTTGCAGGCAACCAGTATCGGATGAATCTCGACGGGCGGCCGTTCTCTTGAACAAGCAGCTGCGCAGACATGACGTGGTTGGGGAGGCCGTTATCCAGAAGGTTGAGAAGACGTCTAGCGAGCACAGAGGGCTTCTCCAGAGCGTTGGCGTCCTCGATGTGAATGCTAAGCTCGGGGTCTTCCTCGACTCCAGCGAACACCTTGTCCTCGAAATCGTTGACGCCAGACTCAAGAGTCAAAGCCTCCTTGAGAACCATGTCCATGAGAGCCACGCTTCGCTCAACCACGCCTTTCCAGTCATGGCTGTTGACGCCGGCTTCGCTCTTATCGTCGTCTTCGTCGCCTCCAAAAGTCAAACCTTCGTCGACGAGCACACCAAGACCGCTTGCAATCATATCCCGCAGGCGCCTGAGATGTGCCAGTTTCCTCCGAGCCTCGCCTCGGCTAAGGGCCACAGGCGATAGGACCTTGCGCTGAAGGGTCGTGATCGATGAGTCCCGAATGCTGTCCCGTACGATGCCGTAAAACTGTTTCCATTGTTGCGATAAGCCTGTACGAGTGGATGCGACAATATCGCCTGGCGTTTGGCTGAGATTCCGAATTCGGTGCTTGCTTTCGTGATAAACATCCTTGGTCAAGGCCCACAAACGCAATGGTGACGTTTGGACAGTGTAGAGACTGCTGTAAGTATACGAGCTCAACACTTCGTCCCAGTACCACATCTCATCACTGAGAGGAATAATCTGATCCAGAAGTGTGTTCAAAATGATACCGTAAGTCTGAACGGTAGCCTTGCTGACGAGCAGCCACTCGATCTCCGACTGGTACGGGCCTCGTCTAGCCTCGTCATCCTGCTCCGCTTGGAAGTCCCATTCCGCAAGTTTGGATTCTTGCAGTAAAGAACGAATCCTCTGAGCGGGGAGTAGAGATGACGAAGTTGAGGTGGTGGACAGAGCCCTAACAATATGTAGGAGCTCCTCAATTCTTGGCGAGGACAAGGCGTCTACGGTGGCCGAGTGAAAAATGCCATGCTCTTCGGCAGACAGCTCGCCATCTTCTTGAGATAGACTCAGGCCTAGTGGAATCCGATCCAGCTGCGCATCTAAGCGGCGGACTTGGCTGGTGCAGGGAAGGTTGATGTCAACATTCAAATATTTTGTTTGGGATGACGGGAAGTCAAGGAAAGATGGGACGGAATACTGACTCGGCAACAACAGACATTATAGCTTCTCACTCAGAGAGCGCTCCTCCTCCACTTTCATGGATCGGTTATGTGTCGAACTCTCGAGACTGTGAGGATTGTAGTCGTGTGAGGATGGATTTGATGGAAGAATGCAGTAGTAGAAGTTTGGGTTAGACGTCATCAGGTAAGCGAATGCCCCGGGCAACTTGGGCGAGCCTGCAGCCGACAACGCGGTGAGCAGCGACTGGAGAGAACGTGGGATGACAGGTGGGGTCTCTTGGGTCACTTAGTCAGCCAGCGCCGCTGACGGAGCTTGACTGTCGGAATGGTGCCTCTCGCTGAGGATGAGCTAATCATCCTGCGTTTGCTTTTACTTACGAAAAGGCCCGGTCTGGATATACAGCAAAAGAGTTTCGTTTAACTCAGCTAATCGAGCTCCTCAAAGACATCTCCGTTCTTTGAGGTCTTTTGATTATGTTTAGACAGTTTCGACCCGACTGTAGGTCTGCCGAGCTATGCAGATCAGATAGATCGTTTCACACCAAAGAGGCGTGGCCAGTGGCCATGCTGGACCATATGAATTCCAAATTTGAAGACATCTTTACTGACATACTTGACGAATGCCATTCAGCAATGGCGATCTGCAACTGTGCGGCCTGAAGCCATCTCGCTTGTCGCTCGCACGTGTAACGCCTCGCTGACATTGAGATTAGAATGCCACGTCATGAGAGGTCGCAACTCATCTTCTACTCAAGAAAGCCAATAACGAATTTGATGCGTAGCCGCAAAGAGCTGTACAACATCCTTCTATGTTTGGCTCTTGATTCCTTTCAAGAACCGGGAAGGCCGATCTCTGATCTCAGGTATTTGGGGTCACCGGCTATATTGTACTTTGGTTGCGTTTTTGATATGAGACCGCAAAGGACTTTCTGGCATCAAATACTGAAGATCTAGTAGCTTTTAGATGTTCAACATAGGGGTAGGTTGGAGTAGTCCTATTGAATTATTACTAACGACGACAGGTCAGTGGCAATCACAGGCTTGTTCGATATAACAGCACGGGTTTATCAGTCTGGCTTCACCATTCTTGTACCTTAGGACGAGGAGACATCAAGAGCTCCTGGCCTCAACCTGTGCTTGACACACAAGGATCATGAGAACTTTTGAAATGTTGTCAATCGAAAACATACAAAGGTAAGTAGTACCAGCCAATACCAAGCTGGGCTTTTCGAGGTAGACTTCGAGGTAGACACGTATCGGATCAAGCTTGACCAGAACACGCCATTTTAACATGAGCATCCACGGCACCCCATGCTTCGCCCTGCCGGAGCGTCCCAGAGGTGGGTACGGCCGGGTCTCTTGACAGCTAGGTCAGGGCTGCGCCGTGGAGGAGGTCAGATGGATCTCATCGGCAATCGGATGTGGTAGATTCGGAGGCGTGGAGCATGTCACTGTCATTGAAGATTGTTCTGGCTTGTGTAATTGAGCACCTGTGTTGGAGCTAATGGGGGCAAAACGGGTAGCGTTAGGCCAAAGCGAATTCCTTTGGCAAAGACGTGCGACGCGCAACCTGGAAACGTGCCCCTCCTTCATCGTATTCGGGTTGAGGTAGGGTACGTACCGGTGCTAAGGTGAGCGCAGCAGCCAAAAAGTCGAGGTGCGAGGTGCCAGGCGTTCCATGCAGGGCGATAAGACAGCCCTGCCCACCTGGAGGATGACTGATATCGGCCTCCTTTGATTGCCCGCGACGGGGCGCAATTCTCATGCATAAGTGCTTCTTCTGAGAAGATGATGCCGACGTTAAACACAACTCAAAACTCCAATTGAGAGCTGACCAGTTCGAAAAGGTGGACATTGAATTAGACTGCCGCCACCTTACTTCAAGTGCTTGGCTTCGTTAGAAGCTTTACCTCTACGTACCTTAATCCAGGTGTCTGGCTTTGATGGAAGCTCAGAAGCAGCATAAGAAAGAAAGGAGCTTTGTCCCATCCATGAAATGTTTCCATGCCCCGTGCCTCCCGCCTGTTCGGCTTTTTCCCCCTCGGCCCCCCTTCGATTGGCAGAGTGGCAGAGCCAACAACGCCTGGTGCAGCTGTCACACACCCTTTTGCCTCCCGAAATCTCGCACACCGCCCGACCCAGTGGCCAGGGCACGCCTGCTTCCTACTGGCCAAAACCCACCACGGAAGACGGAAGGACCCACGAGCTGCATGGTTCGATATTCAAGTGCAGCTTCTTATTGGCTCATGACACAAGAATGGGCAAATCGCAACTAACGTCTCCACGCTGTCGCCCAGAAAGGGTGAGAGATGCACAGGGGCGTTTTCATAAGGTACCTAGCACAATTCCAGAACTAACCTAATATTAAGTCACCTTGAGTAGGTAAGGGAAGGTTTTTTTTGCTCTCTATATGTGGTGACAAGCACCAGAGACGCAGGTGCCATTTCCTTTCCCCGTCAACCGAAATGATCCATGGATAAAACCTCAACAAGACCCGGCCCTGGACCCTTGACCTTGCCGCCCGCCGTCCTTTCTTTCCCTTAAACCTCCCATCGCCACCTAAACACCACCTTCGGCGCATTGTTGAAGGAGTTGCGACTGTCTTTTCTTTCCCTCCCAGCTTTCTCTTCGCCAACTTTGGCTTTCCTCATACACATCTGTAATTCCGCACTTGTTGAAGCACACAAAGTCGCAAACTTGCGCTCCCCGCCATCATGGCCGCTTTCATGTGAGTCTGGCCCCGTTTCTTTCCCCGATCCACGACGCGCCCCCTTTATAGTCCTCGAACACAATCTTGAAGCAAACAGACACTGACCTGGCATTGTGCGGAACAGCAACTCGACCGTCATCAACACCGCCTTCAACCACACGCAGCCGTACTTCAGTGTCCTCGAGGAGGTGTCCAAGTACAATGTCCAGCTCAACTACTTTGAGCGCCTCTGGGCCGTATGTCCACACCTCATCGCGTGCCTGTGCCAACCAATGTCATTACAATGCGACTGACACCTTCCTTCTAGGCTTGGTATCTCTGGATGCAAAACGACACTCTCGCCACTGGCATCATGAGCTTCGTCATGCACGAGACCGTCTACTTTGGCCGCAGTTTGCCCTTCATCATCTTCGACCTCATCCCCTGGTTCCACAAGTACAAGATTCAACCTGTGAGCAAATCCTCCACATCCTGTCATCACAATACTCCGGACATATCCGCTGACGCTCAAATAGCAAAAAATGCCGACACTCAAGGAGCAATGGGACTGCGCTATGGTCGTCCTTATCAGCCATTTCACCGTCGAACTCCCCCAGATCTGGCTCTTCCACCCGCTCGCCACGTGGTGCGGCATGGAGTACAACGTTCCCTTCCCTCCTCTCTGGAAGATGGCCATGCAAATCTCCATCTTCTTCGTCATGGAGGATACCTGGCACTACTGGTTCCATCGCGCCCTGCACTACGGCCCCCTCTACAAGGCGATCCATAAGCTTCACCACTACTACTCCGCGCCTTTCGGTCTCGCCGCAGAGTACGCCTCACCCATCGAAGTCATGCTCCTCGGCATCGGAATCGTCGGCTCGCCCATCTTCTGGGTCACCCTCACCGGCGACCTCCACCTCCTGACCATGTACGCCTGGATCGTCCTCCGTCTCTTCCAGGCCATCGACGCCCACAGCGGCTACGACTTCCCCTGGAGCTTGCGTCACTTCTTGCCCTTCTGGGCCGGTGCCGACCATCACGATCTTCACCACGAGAAGTTCATCGGCAACTACGCCTCCAGCTTCCGCTGGTGGGACTACTGCCTCGACACCGAGGCCGGTCTTGAGGCCCACAAGAAGCGCCGCGAGAAGAAGATCCAGGCCATCAAGGCGCAAAAGTCTCAGTAAAGCCGCTTTTTTTGCAGCGGCTGCGACCTTTTTGCGACATAAAGTACGCACATCACCAAGCACCATGACCATGTGTGTATGCCCAGGGAGAAGAGAATGACGGACGCGCCCACGAATTGTGGTTGGGAGCGCGTTGCTGGACACACCGGCCGCGGGGCGGTGTCTCATGATACGATGTATAGAACGCGGCAGGAAAGGAATACCGCAAGGGAAAGCGATACGACATGGGCCCGGACAACCGAGGCCATACCATCAAAGTCACGTAATTATCATTGGGGCGGCGTTTGAAAGAGGTATTGACGGTTGTGCGAAAAAGGCGAAACCACTTATGCGAATTCTGTCGTATATATTGGGAAGGCCGCCCATATAACTGGCATTGTAGTAGATTACTTAATCATAGCACAACATTCGCTCTTCTTATACCCCAGTTTACATGGCTTGCATGTTCTCTTTGTGTATTCACGTTGTTGTACGGGACTATTGTAACAGTGAACTTGTGATCAGGAGAGTAGCTGAACCCCCCGGGCCCTCGGATCCGAATTGAGGCTGACTATCCGAGGCCGCATCACTTCTTCGGCGTGCAGCAGTCCCCAGCCGTGCCCGCCGCCTTGTCAGCCAAACCCCGGATGCCGCAGGTCACGGCCTCTGTGCCAGTGGTGGCCTCGGAAGCCGGCACCTCGACTTCGCCAAAGTCCTTTGCCAGCACGTCGCAGATGAGAGCGAGCTTGAGGTCCTTGTCAGACAGGCCCTTGGGAACATGTGTCGTCCACCGGATAAAGGTTGTGTTGTAGACCTGCCCTCTTGTTCTTAGTTCTTTTCTGATTTTGGAGACTCCTTGCTCGATTTTCTTGAGAAGGACAGGGTGTTTGGGGCTTACGTTTGACCACTCTGGATGATGATTGTGGATCTTACATTGTAGGCTCACGGCTGTCATGAAGTCCTTTTCACTCGTCAGCAGTCGATTTCATCTTTCCTCGGACGATTGCCATTAAATATGATGGCATGGTGTTTGGCCACACGGAGACATGTAAGTAAAGAAAAGAGATAGGATAATAATACGCACCCACGTCTTTGCAAAGTTCTTGAACTTGAAGCTCCGCTCGATGGCCTCACCGTCGTTGACGAGCGCCCAGCCCCGGCCCTGTCCCAGCAGCGTCTGGAGCGTCGAGGAGAGGGAAGACTCATCGGAGCCCTTGGAGAAGCGCGGCGTGGGCGCGGCGGTGGTGGTTGTGGTTGACATTGTTCTCTGGTATCGTGGTGCGAACTGCTGCTGGGTGAAGTTTTGTAAGGGTGATGGGAATGCTGCCGTTTTTGAGAGCCGGGATGGTGCCGAGGTGAGAGGCCGCGGGGTACAGTGTGCGATGCGGCGGATGAGGGTACGCGCTGGGGTGCTCATCTCTGAGGGTGTGTTTGTTGCGATGGACTTGGGTGACGTTATTCTTGTAGTTGAGTCGCAGATGTAGGATAATGGTGTGGTTGAAGCTTGAGATGTTGTTAGAGGTGTACCCCTGTCCTAGGCACTTGCGGTTGAGCTTATGTGGAGACGCATGAGATGGACGAGGTTGCCTCATAACAGTTGCTTTTGCTCGACATCTGCAATGATGTGTAAACTCCATCCCTAATGCCCTTCAATATGCTTAGGCCAAGATGATTGACTTCATGTATTTCTCAAGAAGCTCAGAAACGGTTCAGGGGCCTTGGGTCACTCAGGGAACTAGATATACTTTCCAGACCTAGGATTTAATTTCTACGAAGGTGTGCTAGTCGGACTTCATGACGGGGTAGCTTCAGAGTCCAAGTTTGATTACATGTTAGATCGATAGATCAATATACTGGTTAAGTACCCTGAAATCTGCATTCGAGACGAGGCCACAGTGGGTAAATCATAATTGAAAGCCAGAGACACTGACCTCCGATATGCGTTCTATTACTGTCTTGCATCCTGGTTGCCCCGAGGTACTCTCCATTTATCAAGAATACGGAGTATGGCAGCAGGATAAGGATAGCGAGGGCGATGAAAACGACAGGAGTTAAGGAGGGCGAGAATCACAGAGACAATGTTGGTCAAGGAAACCGCGAGGCTAAGACTGACGTTAATCAGAATAGAGGCGGAGGGAATAGCTCTATGAGATTCATGCTCACCCGAAGGGCATATACATCAGTCTCAAGCCGTCACCTCTACGTTCCTACATTTGGAAGGTCGATTACCAGACCACGCCGCTATATCGCATCCCCCTGCATGTATTTGCAGCGACAATCCATTGATCAGCTCAAGCGCCAATATCAGGAAAACGATGCCTGTTTCCCGGATACCGGGGTGGAGGAGGTTGGTAACATGGTGGATAGCAGAATGGTCAGGATTCGCTACCCCGCGCTCACTAAACCACACAAATTCAGACTTGACTAAATGATGACGACCCGAACATAGACTTTCATGATGTAAGATACGCAACTCTCTAAGTTCATCTCAAGTAGCTTTAACTTGACTAATTATTTGCAGCTTCAGCTCAACTGCGTACGCCTGCTAGTACTTCTTCACCGAGAATAAATCTAGTCGGGAGCTAGACAGCCATAGTCCTTGGACGCCGTGCAAGTCGTTCAAGATGCGTGTACCACATCGACCTCATGAGATGCAGCAATCTGTATCAAACCCAAAACCAACGGATAATACACCTTCAAACACCCAACAAACCCAGACAATGGCTTCACAACAAGAACAGAATGAGCCAGAAGCAGGAATGGCCATCACCCTGATCACCGCCGACCTTCTCATCCCAGGCCGCGGCACCCCAGTACAAGACGCCGCCGTCGCCATCTCAGACGACAAAATCATCCACGTCGGCCCGCGCGACACCCTGCCCTCCAAATACCGCTCCCTCACCCCCCTTCATGTCCCCGTCCTCATGCCGGGCCTCTGGGACGTCCACGTCCACTTCCTCGGCATCGACGTCGTCACCGGCTTCAGCGACGGCATCTTCAACGTCCTCCCCGGGTCCAACGCCGTCATCGTCGCCGTCATCGTCCAGGACCTCGAGGCCACCCTCATGGCAGGCTACACCTCGGTCCGCGAACTGGGCGGCTACGCCGGCGACCTCCGCCCCGGGATCGACTCGGGCCGCCTCGTGGGCCCCAACGTCTACTCCTCCATCGCCGCCATGTCCATCAGCGGCGGACACGGCGACCAGCACACCCTCCCCATGCAGACGGTCCTCGACTTTGCCAAATGCGGCGGCGGCGCCTGCTCCATCGCCGACGGGCCGGAGGACTGCACGAAGCAGGTGCGCCTCCTCGTCCGCCGCGGCGCGCGCTGCATCAAGATCTGCTCCAGCGGCGGCGTGCTCAGCCTGCTAGACGACCCGGAGGACAGGCAGTTCTCCGACGAGGAGCTGAGGGCTATCGTCGAGGAAGCGGGCCGCAGCCGGCGCGCGGTGGGCGCCCACGCCATCGGCAAAGCGGGCATCATGGCTGCGCTGCGCGCGGGCGTCAAGAGCATCGAGCACGGGTGCTACCTCGACGACGAGGCCGTCGACCTCATGCTGGAGCGGGACGCCGTGTTTGTGCCGACGCAGCACGCCATCATGACGCTGGCTGCTGACCCGTCGCAGCTGCCGCCGCCGCTGGCGAGGAAGCTGGTGAAGCTCGTGCAGAGGGCGACGGACTCGTATCAGCTTGCCATCGGGAGAGGCGTCAAGGTCGCGCTCGGGACGGATACGTGGAGCAGCGACCGGACGAAGCCGCTGGCGCACGGGAAGAATGCGCGGGAGCTGCACTGGGCGGTCAAGAACGGCATGACGCCTCTCGAGGCTATCGAGGCTGGCACGGCGAACGCGCCCGAGGTCTTGGGTGGGATGGCGCCGCTGAGTGGGCAGGTTAGGGAAGGGTATGATGCGGATTTGATTGCTGTTGCGAGGAACCCGCTCGAGGATATTGAGATTTTGACCGACAAGGACAACATTACCCACGTCTGGAAAGGGGGCAAGTTGTTCAAGTCTTCGTGATAGTCGGGAGGATGCTTGTAGCATACCTCAGACTGTAAGGGTCGGTCACTGATTAGTGATGAGTATAAAAGTCGATCGTCAGCTTAAATGATAGCTCCTTGAACGACACCATACATATATAAACCTTGTTTTTTCATTGAAGGTATCGATACGCTGGCTTTACTTCAGTAGACGAGTTGCTAGCCCAGATACAACCGGATCAAGTGCCTCATCACAGCCACACACGCCCGTTCTCCGTTTCCGTATATACTCTATAGAGTACGGATATGATGGATGGTCTGTAGGAACCGCCCAAGAAGCCGTAATTTGGAGGATCATTCGGCTAGGTAGCATTCGGTAGCATAACGATGTTGACTGCGGTGTAACGATCCTAGTCCACGCTGCACTTTCTAGGCCGCAGTCCATTGCCCCAATCCATCAACACAGACCTGTGCAGGGATGGGAGGTAGGGGGGTAGGTTGATCGTAGTATGTCGATAGCTTCGGAATGTTCACTAGATGTTTTCCGAGGGTTCGAGCTGCGTCAAGCCGCACTGAGCACTCGCAAATGCAAGCTTGATGTCGAAGAAGAGAGACTGGGCAACGTTACAATCAACTCAGTGGTGCTGACTGAAGGGCACGCGGACTACCGCTCCATCATGCGATATTGACAGACGCCTAGTTAACCAGGAACCCTACCTTGCGTTAGTGAAGAGAGAACAGACTCGCAATACTGAAAGCGCCTCTTCTTGAATTCCAAATTTCGATTCGCCGATGACAAGCCAGCAGCACATCCAAACGGAAATAACAGCAGATGGGACGCATCACCATACGTGTAATATGCCATTGGTTGACCAAAAAAGGGCCGTGTGTGTGTTGTCACGGTCGTCTTCCAGAACCGCACACAGACTCCGCCAAAGCTGCAAGCACAGGGCATCTGGCGCCGCATGCCAGACGCGCCAAGCCATTGGGCTTATGTAAGTCAAACACCGGGAGTCGCGGTACGTGTTGACCGAGGAAAGCCCGCATATCGTAAGTACCCCCATCCCTTCCTACCACTTTCCACCTCAGCATGGCACGCATGGCACGCCTGGGAAGGAAAAGAGGGATTTCCTGGCAGTAATACTCCGTACGTACGGATACGACTGTACGAGTTGCCTACCATGCCTTAGTCAAACATCCGTACCCTCCAGGTAGTTTTTGCTGCCCGGCGCAAGCCATGCGTGCTTCGGCGGGATATTTCCTACTCAAGCTTGGTACTTCCGTTGAGGGGTCGGCTAATTATTTGACTGACAACCTTCCCTCAGTCTGCTTCTGCACTCACTCACCTCTCATAGGAGTCGGATTTGCGGGAACAAGGTACTCGGCAAAGGCAAAGTTCTTCCACGATCGTTCTGGTCTGCTGTCTGCGGCCTGCTAGGGTGCCGAGTGGCTCCGGCGACTTTTCCAGTCGTCTCGCCCTGCCTGTCATCGGCCATTTCGTAAAGTCCGTCGCGTCGCCCTTCCAATCACAAGCAGCCTCTACCGTCGGGTTAGTCCCTGTGGAGAAATTCGTTGGATGACGTAAGTTACCGTAGACCGCAAGTAGGCCAGTTTGGCCCGCAAATAGTCTTCCTCCCTGTGGTCTGTGGATGAAATGTCGCAACTCGGAACGTGCCATTTCCTGAATGCTGACAAACCAGACTTGCTGACTGTTCGGATTCATGAACGACATCGACTTGAACATGCAATGAATCCTCTGGGAAATGAGTTGTCGCTGGTCCGCGGCTGACAACAAACTCCGGACAGCTGATCACAAAGTGCTTCCACAATCTTGTTCCTGCCGCCCCTGCTTCTCCTATCTCCGTATCTTGTGCTGTTTACCCACTGGTAGGTAGCTAGGGGAATGGACCGCTTCACTCTAATAGGATGGAAGTACGAAGAGAGATGATGATAGGGATGGCGAGTATAGCATCAGAAGACAATACCTAGTGAGGCATACCGATTGGAATCACGTGGCAGAGTCGTGCTGCCTAACACAGCATCTTCGCCAGCGCCACCCAAGGGAGAAAGTAAGGCTACACCGCAGATGTAAGTGAGCTGTCGCGGTGCGAGCACATATGCTTTCAGCTCAGAGTTTGGACTTTCAGCTCCGAGCCCGGTACATAAGCACATATGTGAGGTAAGGTAGATTCAGTGTCAATCTGCGCAGGTTGGCAGGCTCACAAGCAGCTCTAGCCTGCCTGCTTACTTATGGCTCGAGGTCGACATTTTTCGTTTCTTCGTCAGGCGAGAGCTTGACTTACAACACAGACAATCTATCTGCGTTCTTACCTCATCTCCAAGGCTAAGCCACCTGCTCTCATGGGACCTTCCTGTGTTGACTAAGGTGGTCGGGGTGTTTCCTGACCTGGCCCCGTCGGCTCCGGGGAGCACTTTAAGTCACCTTCCTCATCCCGCTTGACGGCACACTGGAAGGTACCTACCTCACATCGGGTCGGGGTAGGACTTGTAGGGGTGAGGTCAGGTACGTACCGAGGAAGGGAACACGGCAAGCTCGAAGCAGGTACACACGCCAAAGCACCTTGCCTTCCCCCGACAACCTGGAAGCAACGAGCTGCCTGCACCTGCCTGCCTCCGCCCTACCGAGATTCCTCCTCGTCGCGTCCCTCTTCTTTCTCTCCCAATCAATCAATCAAACAACCAACGAATCCTTCATTCCCAGCCACGCGGTTTTTTTCGTCTCTGCTCTCTTCCACTCAGCCAACACCTTGGATCTTTTTTTCCCATTGCAATTTCTTGGACAGAAAGACTGGCAGACAAGAACCAAAACAAGGACAACTCGATACACTCAACGCGTCGAACGTGCTCTCCAACCACCTCTTCTCGGAAAGGTTCTCCCACACGGTACACCTGGCTGCACCTGGAGAAAGCGGACCAGCAGCAGATCAGACCCGACGCAGATTGCATGCTTCTGCCGCGGATTACACACGAAAAAAAAAAAAAAGAGGTCCAAGCTGCGCGACCCGACCTTTCTCTTACCTCCCATTACCTCCGCCTCACCTCATACTTTGGGCCCTTACCTCACCGGAACAGGTACGGTACCTACGGAATACCTTACGTTACCGCGTACAGATTACCCACACCCTCGTCAGGTTTCCCCTCCTCTACGACGCGCTAAGGTCGCAGACGATTACCTAAACATTCGTTGAACTGCCGCATCGGTACTCCGTCTCATCCAGTCTCATCATCAGGGCCCTCTTTATAAGTCCTGGTCGGGTGCCTGTAGTAATCAATCCTCCGTTCCCTTCATGCTGAGTCAGAACCGGAGCTTGAAGATGCAGAGCGCTTCACCCTCGTCCTCTGCGAATACCACCACTAACACAGGTAAGCTACTACTCACCTTCCTCGTTTCTCATTTCTCTGTTTCCCGATCCCTATCCTCATGTCCTGTTCTATTCATCCCACCAACTCGCCGTTTCGCCCGACCAGCGAGCGCTCTGCCAAACTCCGTCGATCCCGTACCGTTCCTCTCTGACCTTTGCCCTCTCTCCCTCTTCCACCTCTTTCGCAAATCCGCCCTCCGGCAGCTGTCCTAGCCATTTGCCTTACCTCATCTTTCATTCACTACTCAGTACATTGTACTTGGCTCGGATCTCATGTACTTTGAGTGAGACGAACCCTCTTTCTCACTCTAAACTACGTTACAATCATCAATACCTGCTATATCCTAGGAGAGGCCTGGCTACCTCTTGCCAGCGTTGATATGTAATCACTCCCCTTCCCCCATCAGCTTTCCGTCCATCAGCGACTACTGCAGGCCAGCAGCTGTCTGAGATACATGATTGCCCTCGTTCGTTTCTGTATGGACAGAAGCTTGAAACAGAGGCAGACCGAATCAAAGACAGAAATCCGGCTTATGCGGCTGTCGAATGGACCATTTTCAAACCTTCTCCCATCGTCTCACGGCGCATCTTCCATCCCCACATATCCCTGCTGCTCCGGCGACAACGCCAAACTCTCAAGTCTTTCAAGCCTCGATTTATCTTACCTTTTCAAGCCAAAACGGTCCCTGAATCTCACTTGCCTTTGATGACGAGTTTTGATTTTATACCGAACCTGGACACTGCTTGCTGACATGATATGTGTTGTCCATAGACGCCCACTTGCGCGCGCAGCTTGAGCTACTCAGCAAGCATACCGCGCCCGGCTCGACAGACAACGCGACCGGCCCAGCTCGTGGAGCTCGCCCTCAAGCTCCCAACCCTTTGACCGCGTCACCACCGCCGCCGGCACATGGCTATAGTAACGGCTCTACATCGCCCACTGACGTCTTGCCACCGATAGTTAATAACCAGGCCGACCCGGAAGCGCATATCCACCCTGACCTCCGAGCTCGAATCACGCAAGCTCCAGCCGTCAACATGATGCCCGCTGGTGTACCACCTCAACCGCAGCAGCAAATCGCGCCTCCCGTGACGGCTGCCGGTCCTTCCATTGCGCCTCCTACTCATTCTCCTACAGAAATGGACTTGGATGACGGCGCGGAGGGTCGCAAAGCTAAGCGCGAATTGTCACAATCCAAGCGCGCCGCGCAAAACCGAGCTGCCCAGGTACGATAATAACAATTGGGAAGGTGCGCTGGGTCAATGGCGCGTAATACGCCTCGCGCGTGTCGCAGATGACTGTCGCAGTGCTCTTGATACATGGGACACTATTACTGGCTCATCAACCAATCACTGCGACAGCGCCAATTCCATCCGGCGCGCCCACCCCAAATCAATTCTCCAATGCGACCTGTTGATGAGCTTGAGCTAACTTGAATGCGCCGCAGAGAGCTTTCCGTCAGCGAAAGGAGGGATACATCAAGAAGCTTGAGCAGCAAGTTAGAGACTACATGGAAATGGAGGGACAGTACAAGACGATGCAGTCAGAGAACTACGCGTTGCGCGAGTACGTGATTCACCTCCAGTCGCGCTTGCTCGATCTTCAGACCGAAATCCCTCAGCCGCCGCCCAATGTCAACCTTCAGCAACCTGCACTCCCGCCTCCTTCGGTCCCGACAAGTGGTCCTGAAGCCCCGCCTAGCAATGCGGGTGCTGGTCCTCTTGAGGCCGTTGCGCAGGCAGTGGCCGGTCTGCAGGCACAGGAGCAGCTTGCGCAGAGAGATCAGTTCACAAGGCCCGAGGCGGTGACTAAGGAGGAGCCACAACGTGAGCCTGATGGACCCGTCGACCCATCGCTACCGGATGGCCTTCCGGCTCCGACTGCGTCCATGTGAGCGTGCCGAGAAAACGAGGGCGCGTCGCATTTGAATCATGGTTTTCACGTCGCTGGCGTTGCGGTACAATGGTTTGTCAAGATATTACTAGTGGACTGGCGTTACCGGCATGGCTTCTATCCACCCGTTGCGGGTGTTTTGTTTGCAATGCCCTCGGGCTTGAGTTCTTCAAAAGAGAGATGATGTAGGGAATTCGTGCTTGTAACATTGACACGAGAAGTGAAGAGTGTCAAAGGGTGGAGATTTGAGGGCCTGATGGGAACTTGATAGGAAGCTCGAGGCGAGCTCCGGCTTCGTCTTTGATTTTTAGTCATTTGTCCCCCTCGGTTCTACACGCAAATGTACATCGAGGAAAGAGCCCTTGGTCATAACCTCGGACAATGCTTCATTGCCATGAAGCCGAGGAAAGACCTAGGCAACGTTCGAAAGTCTCATTACAGATTAGTCTCCGCAGAAATTCTGTTTTGCATGGCCTTATATGGATGTCATCGTTTTGATTCCCCCTCATTCACGCAGCTAAGGAGCCCGTCTCAATTTGCACTCGCGCGGAAATACAAACAGACATAGGTCTGAGTGTGTCGAAGAAGTCATGAAGAAATAGCAAAGCTTGGCTTTTTCTCGTCAATAAGACTGGTGGCATACTAGCAAGAAGGACGTGTAAAATGTAAAGATACGTTGACATGTAAGGCCCGGCATTTGAATTTCTCCCATCCTTTCTTGCCCTCACCCCTTTGAGACGTCCCGTTCCCTAAGCCGTAAAATAAGTCGCCGTTGCTGCAAAGCGCCCGCACCGTCCGTGATCTCTGTTTTCTCCCCTTTTGTTAAGTAATCATACATATGAAGTATTGCCCAGGTCGTGCTCCTATGATCACATCGTGTCAGTCTGTTGTCTAGTTTCAGAAATAGGGGGGAATGGTTTGGGTGAGCTTACCTTGAGATACTCAGAGCCCTTCTCCTGATACTCCTCCCGCGTAATGGTTGCAGCCTTCCAGGCGTCCGACCCAGCCCACCCGGCAGCGCCCTTCCACGCGTCGAGGAGGGCGTCCTCGGCGCGGCGGATGGCGAGCGGCGCGCCGGCGGGGAGAAGAGGCCTCAGCCCCTCGCGGAGACGCTCGTCGAAGCCCTGGAAGAGCGTGTTGCCGCCCGTAAGGAAGACGTCCTTTAGGAAATCGTCGCGGTTCGACACGCCGCCCAGGCGCTGGTTGAGTATATCGCCGACAATCTCGATGAGGCCGCCCTGGTCGACGCCTGCGATGGACGGCTGAAAGACGACCTCGGGCACGCGGATGCGCTCGACGTTGAGGTGGATCTGGTTCAGCTCGGCCTGGGAGCCGGCGTCGAAGGGCCGCGGGCCGCGCGCGAAAGCGTGGAGCATCGACGTCGACCAGTCCGTCTTGGCCTCGTGGGTGTCCTCGTAGCCGAAATTCGGATCGTAGCGCAGAAGGTCCTCCTCGTACGTCTTGAGGTTCGCCTCGAGGTTTTCTTCTTCCTGCTCGTCGTCGCTGTTGTCGCCGACGGTGATTTGGCGGTACACGCCCCAGTCGTCGTCATTTTGTCCGAAATTGTCGTCGTCGCCGCCGCGGCGCCGCTTCTTGACCGGGTTGTCGGACGCGAGGTTGGCGATGCTCTTCATGCGGATCTGCGAGGCGAGCGACTTGCGGTTGCCCAGGTCCTGCTTGAGGCGCTCGCGCTCCTTCATCTTTTGCAGCGTCACCTCGCGCGCCTGGCGCCTCTCCTCGAGCCAGCCCTCGAGGTCGTTCTCGCGGCGCTCCACGTCCAGCCGCTTCTCCTCCTCGACGCGGGCCTTCTCGGCCTCCTTTTCGGCCTTGGCGCGAGCGCGCGCGTCGTGGTTGGACTTCATGAGCTTCTGCTGGCGCTTGGCCTTGATGCCGGCGTCGTCGAGCTCCTCGTCTGGTACGTCGAGCAGGTCGAATACTGGCTCTTGCTGCTCCTCTGCAGGGTCACCGCCAACGTCCTTTGTGCGCGCCTTCTTGACCGCCTTCTCAAGGGTGGCGATGGCTCTCTCGAGAGCAGCTTCATCCTTGAGGTCGTTGCTATCGAGCAGCCGCCTGACCTCCTTCTTGTTGGTCTGCTGCTCCAGCTTGATCTGGAGCTTCTTGTACTGTTCAAGCTCGTTCTCCTTGCGCATCAGCTTCTCGAGGCGCATCTTCGCAGCTTGTTCCTGTAACCGCCTGCCGCTCTCCTTCTTCCGCTCAGCAATACGAGCCAACTCCTCTTCCGTCTTTTGCACAATGACCTCCTCTGTAAAGGGGTACTGGATGACAATGTCCCGGTCTTCAAGGCCAGTCCAATCCAAGTAGCCTCCTAACTCAGTGTTGTAGTCTTTTGAAACGTAGGCATGGTCGCGGAGCATGTGCTCTGCCTGGGACACGTTGAGCTTCCCGTTGAAAGCAGGGTACTTGAGCCTAATCAGCTTCAGCAGGTACTCTGCCGCATGCCATCCTCCCCAGTTCAATCTTGTGGCTTGGCTCAGCAGAGCCTTGTGATTGTAAACGGGTATCACGTGTGTCGAGGTGTAGGATGACGAAACTACGATGCCTGTGTTTCCCTTGTTGTGTGTGTACGAGAAGAGGGAGTCGATGCCGTATGCTAGGGAGGGCGCGCCGTAGCATTCGAAGATGATTTCTGTCATGGCTTCATAGACGTGTTAGCTGTTGGTCTTCACATGCTGCGAGAGACCAGCTTACATTTCCGGGAGTACGGCAAGTTGGCTACCGCCTCCGTCATGATAATGGGCATGTCGATGGATGCATCATCTCCGTTCAAGCCGAGTTTGAGAAAGATGTAGTCGAGAACATGCTCCATGACATCCCAATTGCTCACAATACCCGTCCCTTGCTCGTGCGCATAACGTGTGTGACTCCTCGCAGTCGTGTCGGCATAGCAGTCGCTGCCTGCAAAGGAATAAGTCTTTCCGGCTTTTCGGTCGCGGTATTTCGCCATGATCGGTGGGATGTTGAGCCTCGGCTTCTCTTCAAATGACCATCCTGCACGGACGGCCGAAGATCCTATCGACAGTCAGTCAAACAGCCGCTCCGCCACATGCGTTTTCGGAACGCCTGCGAGCTTACCGTTGTCAATTACAATGGCCGCGCCTCGGGAGGACTGCGCCAATGCCTTCTCCCGTCCATCCTGCTGTACCGGGATCGGCTTCTCGAACTTAGCCTCCTTGACTTGGAAGATCTTGGCTGGAGGGTACGTCCTCTCGGGAGGTCCTGGCAGAGGAGGGAGCTCGCCCGTAGCTGAGGGCGCCATCGCGATGTTCGTGTGTTGGGAAAGGTCTAGGGTGTCGCAGTGCGACGGACCATGCTTCGGGGATTTACGGGCAGTATATGATGGATTTCGAAGCTGTATAGCTGGCGACGTCTTCAACGGGAAGGTTCGTTAAGGTAGGGAGCGTCTACGTCACGTGCGTCGCGTTCAATGCGTCTACTTGATTACGGTTGATGAAGTTGTGATGCGCCGTTGTTGCGAGGCTGCGAGGCTGTAAATTTCAGTGGACCCCTACCGGCTTGTGCTACTCGGGTCGCAGCGCAGCTACGCGATCTTAGCGTAGTAAAGGTAATAGTACTACGTGGGTGAATCAAGTGCAACCAGCGTCTCGCCCCTCGGTGTTTTGTTCAAAATGGGAACAATCACATTCACTTTCAGGTCTGCCAAACTTGCGACTGCCTTTAATCATGGCCATTTGAAGAAGGGTGGGAAATGCGGTCAATTCAGAATTCTGAAGCTTTCCTCCAGTTATGGCTTCTCAGTGGGTATCTGCTCTATGGCTCGTGAAGTGCGCCGGAAATGTCATCAGTCTCGTCTCATTCCTCATCCATACACCCAGCACCTAACGACGAAGTTCCGCCATGTTCATGCAGGCGGCTTCAGGTTGTCCGTAGCTAGTCCAGTGTTAAATTACTTCACGAAGGTCTGCATAATGACAAGAAACGTACCCTCAAGATGGAACAAGACATTAGACTGGTAGTTCTTGAACATCTGAGCGACGAGCTCGACATTCATGTTCTCAATGTTGATCTCCTGAAACCGACATCAGTCACAGCAAAGTGTCATAAAATAAGAATGGGTAAATTACCTGCAGTGATCTATTCATGACCATCACCGCCTCGTTGAGTTTCTCCTGGAACTGTGTAAGTCGTAATGACCTAGGGTTATTAGAGAGCGACATACCACATTGGTAATAATGCGAGAAAGCAGCAGATTCTGTTGGTGTTCGTGAGGACTCTCCTACTCTATTTGTTAACATGTCTATTCGTCTGCGCTGCGAGTGACCACGGTTGGTATCATACCATTTTGTTAGGCACGTATTTGTGGTTGTGGTGTGTTTGTTTACTCTGTTACAGGTACCCCACCGCAATCGTAGATGACTTGACTCGAACAGCGCTCTAGGCACAACTCACCGATCACACCGAGCTCCCGCTCAGCGGTGAGGAACGGCAGAATAAGCTACCCGGCCACTGCTTCCCTCCTGTTGCGCAACCAGCCATCCGCCTCCAATGGGTACAGCAAAGCCGTATCATCGCAGTTTGAAACCCCAAAACCGCACGATACCACATTCCAACTAAAATGGCGGCCCCGAAAGAAGCTACAGAGGCGCAACTAGCCCACCAAGCCCTCCTCGACGAGCTCGACATCCACTCCATTCACAAGAGCTTCCGCAACCCGTCCTGGAAACCCAACCAGCGCCGCAACAAGAACATCAAGACCATCCTCGGCGACGCCTCCCGCCGCGAGGCCTCAGCCCTGGCGACCCCGCAACAAGAAGAGGGCAGCGCTGCGGCTACGCCGGCGCGGACGACGCGGGGCGGCCGCGGCGGCAACGACGACGACGGCCTCTCTACCAGCGGCGCCTCGACGCCAGCCGCCGGCAACGGCAGCGGCAACAACGACGACAACCCGAACCTCGCGCAGGCCTCGCGCAGCCTGTCGAAGCTTGTTCTTGAAAAGAGTCTGCGCCCCAACGGTGGTGGTGCCGCCGGCGGAGGCTCGGGCCCGAGTGTTACCTACACCAACGTCGAGTCGGCGCCGTCGCTGGCGCACACGAAGCGGTACTGCGATATCACGGGGCTGCCGGCGCCGTATGTCGATCCCAAGACGCGGCTGAGGTATCACGACAAGGAGGTGTTTGGGCTGATTCGAACTTTGCCGCAGGGCGCGGCTGAGCAGTATCTCGAAGCGCGTGGTGCGCATACTGTTCTCAAATAAGGGGTGTCTACTGCCTTACATCTTACGGATACATCTTGTGGATTGGACAGAGAATGACGGCGGCGGCAGGAGGCATAAGGCACGATGCTGCAGGTTTCCTTGTTTAGGCGTTACTGGGGGTCAACAACTGTGGTCATGAACCAAGTTTCGGAGTTACTGGGGGTGTCGAGCGGAACGAGTCGTTTTCAAGTCAATACGATGATTGTTCTTCATAAGGATGAGCTACTAGGGTGCGGGAATCTATGTATGTGCGACCAACAAAGTCAAATCTCAACTATGCAGCCCTGCGCCTTTCAGCATAGGGTGTTAGATGACACTCCGGCTTAATCGTGATAAACTGTTGTTCTTCGCCTGTGAATCGACAGATTACCGAGAACGTATTGAGAGACGATACTCAGTTGCCATAGCTTAAAGCTACAGCCGTCGCGGCGGAACTGCTATGCAGTTGTGTTTTCCTTACCGTTTTGTTGTCGAGCCTCCGACTTGCTCGAATCCGGAACCACGGCTGGGGGACGATCTTGCTCGTCTATATCGGAGCTGGTGGTATAGATGCTATCCTCTTGTGTCCACAAAAGAGGAACGCTCATGTATTTCCATGGTAGAGCTCAAACACTCCGTCATGAGATCTTCCCAAATCTTATACCGCAGTTGCCCAGCTGGATAACCTCATGAAGAGCGGTTTGAGAGACCAGTTGCGCCATGCATCAATGAACGCCGTATAGGGAAGGCTGAAGAGTATTTCTTGACTGTACTGTTGATGATCGTGTGCTCGCCAGCTGGTCGGTCCTGATGCGTGTGTCGTCGAGCCCTTCAAGACGAACTCAACACTGAGTTGATGTTCAAGAAGCAGGTTGGTTTTTTTCCAACTGCAGCGCGGGTTAAATCCATCGTGGGAAATTTGAACCCACGTTGTAATTGGTTACCTTGCTAGAGGGACCCAATTATTCCTGGTGGCTTTTGGTGCACACCACCCCCCAAAACCCCCAAGAGTTAGGTTCGTTGTGTGACGGCGCGCGGCCAAGCAACAGGAACTTGCAACAAAGACCCCTGCTCGCGTGCCAGCGGCCGGCACCTTTCCCCCTGGTGATCTGTTCTTTGCCTAATCTAAAAAATTACGGCAGCTCAGTCTAACAGTCCTGTGTACGCCAATCCTCTCTCGCGTATCTCTCATCCTCTCTTTTCGCGATTACAACGCCCTTTTCGGACCCTTCTGATTGTACAGCTACCTTCCTACGGAAAACGAAAGAAACCTTACCCTCGAACGATCCGATCGAATCGAAGCTCCCTTCTCTTCCTACCACCCAACTCCAACGAAGCTAGGAGCATACACCCAAGATGGCGTCAATGTGGATGTCCGACTCTCAAAGTACGTCTTTTTGCGCCGCCAAGCCGTCACAGGCAATACCGCACCGGAACCATGTTGCGCAGCTTCTACACCACTGTCAAGGACCGTAGCTGACCTTTGTTCTTACAGAAATTGGAGTAATCTTCTGCTCCGGAGGTACGTTTGCGCCGCCACCAGTACCTCTCTGGCGCATCGAGTAGCACATGCAGCAAGTAGGATTCACGGTGGCTAACTTCTCTGCGCTTCCGACAGGAGGTTTCTTCCTCATCGGTGGAGTGATGCTGTTCTTTGACCGAGCAATGTAAGTCGTTCCTTACGGATTTGTTCTCCTCCTTTGACTTTTCCGACAGAGCTAACCCGATCCTTTCTCAGGCTGGCCATGGGAAACGTACGAAACTCCCCTTCTCCCTCCTCCCTGACCACAGAGTCAACGACCACCTACACGCAAAGTAGCTGACCCTTGAAACGCAATAGATTCTCTTCCTCATCGGCCTGACCATCATCATCGGACCCCAAAAGACACTCCTCTTCTTCGCGCGGAAACAAAAGGCAAAGGGCACGGCCGCCTTCTTTGGCGGTCTTACCCTGATCCTGCTACGGTGGCCCCTAATCGGCTTCTGCGTCGAGCTCTACGGCATCATGGTCCTCTTTGGCGACTTCCTCGGCACGATTGCCGCTTTTGCGCGTAACATCCCCGTCATCGGGCCGTATATCGGCACCGCGGTCGACCGGTCTGGTGTCGGTCGCCGGAACGCTGAGTTGCCTGTGTAAATATTCCATTGGAAGGCGGTCGGGAAGGATGTATCAACGTATCAATGATTTTCGGGGAAGCCACTGGAATGAGGAGGATAGCGTATAGACGGGATTGTATACCATAACGGCGCAGGTTGGGCCCTGAACCTATGATTTGATAAAGGCTTGTAATTATACGCGGATTTGTTTTCGGTTCTTAGAGCAAGGGCGAAACCTTTGTCAAGAGACGACGAAACTCGCTCAAGGATAATGAATGAATGGAAAGACACACTTGAGAAACCATCTGGCACACATAGGACGGAAAGACATGTCATTGACATACATGGTTGGCGCATTTCGGGCTCGAACGTAGCCGCGGCTAAGCAAAGATTCCGCCATTGGTAAACTCTTGCTAATCTAGTGTTCGTCGATTCGTAGTGTCAACATCCTCGTGTGTACGCGGGAGCGAGATGCCCAGCCTGCCTCGCACACAGTAAACTCCAGGGGTTTGTTTCCTTTAGTTGCAAAAATCCCCCCGCGTGCCCCCTCGTCTACGCCATCACCTCCTCCACCCTGGCTGGTATTCTTAGTAGCTCACACTGACGAGGTAGTCTGCCAGCTTCTCCACCGCCAGAGTAGCGCTGCCGGCCTGCGCGTTCTCGCCGTGGTGGCCGAGAAGGATGGCCTGGGTAGACTTGGCGACGGCGATACCCTCCTTGCCCTATTCAAGTGTTTTCAAGTCAGCCCTTCTGCGGACAATGCCACGTTTTTTCCGTGCTTTCAGAGTGTATGGGCGTCCAACCTTTCGTGCGTAAATGGCACCCTCCTCGGCACGGGCCATGACGTATCTCTCGCCGCCGATGAACAGACCATCGGCAAAGGCCTTGTCCTTGACGTCCGACTTTCCGGTAACGATGTCGGCAACAACCTTCATCTCCGTGGCGGAGAGCTATGTTGCGCAAGAGATATTGTTAGTAGTGGTACGGATAGAGAAATGTAGTTATTCGTTGGTAATTGAAGGCGGGATCACATACGGTGAAACCGGCGCTCGACGCCCACGTGCTGTCACCGGCGATGCTGATGATGGCGGCCTTGTCAATGTGGCCGGTGCCGACCAAGCTACAGATCCCACGTCAGTTCTCCATGGCCCATTGTATAGCTCAACAATCCCTCGCGATGCGCAAGCCGCGAAAACAAAAAGCTGGTGCAAAGCTACCTGGTGTCAACGTAAGCTGTAGAGAGAGATTGTCAGCTCATCCTGATGATTCTCGAGGTCTGGGGGGGTTTTCCCCTCGGGTTTGGCTTCTCCCTCCCCCTCCGTCTCTCTTGGGACAGAGCTGCCAACGCCCGCATCGGCCCTTCGTGGGGGTGGGAGATTGCGAAGTGAGTGAGCTTACCTTGCCACGACATGATGAAGGAAGGAAGACGGGAAGAAATAAGAGACTAGTGCTCGCTGGTGCAAATTAACAAAAAAGAGACAAGAAGCTTCTCTCTGTCGAAAGGGGGTGTGCAAAGAGCTCAAGCTTTGACGCGGTGTGGGATATGGAGGGGAGGAATTTCGGTTTGTGACTGTTGATGTTTCTTGTTCCTCTTTCCTGCCTGACGTTTGCCCCTCTCTCCTCCGAGGAATACCTTAGCAAACCAATTTTTAGGTCCAGCGGGCCGGGCGGGGTATCACGCTACCTGCTGAGAGGTCATTACTGGCGCCAAAGTAGCGGTGCGGGGTACTTTCTTCAGCATCGCAAGCATCGTAGGCGAATACCTCTGTTTCTCGTTGCTTCCACCCCCCGGGCAACTGTGAGGTGCTTTATTCAGGAAAGTCCAGCAATGTCATGCAGCTACCACAGTAAGATACCTAAGGTAGGGACTGCCAAAGAATTGCTGCACCTTATCCGAACATTTCTCATCGTTTCTTCTGATTCCCTTTCCTAGTCGACAGCGACGGCTTAGCCTTGTCTTGACGAATTCAATCCCCTATCTTCCTACCTACCTGTACTTCGTACCCGAGGTAGCTGATCCACTCGAGAGAGCTCAACGAGTCCACACGATCCGCCGGGTATTCCCATCACCGCCTGTGTAGCCATTACCTTGTAATAGGTACCATACCTTACCTTACCGCCTTACGTATCTTTCCACCTGGGTGCCACTTCCGGAATGTGCCCCGCCAAACACATTGCTCAGTCACGTGATGGCGGGGTGACTGTGCGAGTACAATGGAAGGAGGCACAGTACAGACACGGCATTGTTGGGCCCCACCCATTTGAGGGCCGTCACCGCCTCAGCTCGCCACACTCAATGCGCCACGGCAGCGACCCCCGTTTCCCATCTTCGCCAAGGGCAACACATCTCCGCCGACGGCCCGGCAAAGCTCTATGCCGCCTTCCATCTCCATCGTCGTCTTCGTCGACGTCGCTATCAATGGCTTTTCGTTTCCAGAAGGATCGAAGGAACGAAACAGACGCTCGGCACATGAGAAGTGAGGACGGACGTGCAGAATGGCAACATCAAGCGAAAAGAGTTGCTTTCTAAATATGTTTGGATCGTCCATGCAAGAAGGAGCGCATATTCCATGTTAGCTACCGCAGCTACTACAGCCCAACTTACGCTCGAAGTCTTCTATCTTTACTCTATCCACCTGTATGCGGTCAACGGCGACATCGAGGACGCCTGGTTGACGGAAGTCCGTCCGCAACGCAGCTCGGAGCCAAAAGACGGGACGTTTCCGTCTTCAGCTCGGTCCTGCACAGTCGTAGTCGTCTATTAACCCGATCGGCTCTTTGAACTTCTTGTCCCCATCACGCCGGGGTCCAGGCTGTACAGCATCTCTTTCAGGCTTTGGCCTCTCTTCTTCAGATGGAATTTCGCTCACCAGCGTACACGTCCGATCATCTGGATAAACTATCAGAGTTGTTTCCACCCGATGCCTCTCACGGGATGCTACACTGTCAACGGATCGTCACCCGGGGCACCGCCTACGTTACGCTTGATCCGCCGCCGTCTCGCACCCTAATTGATCGCCCTGGTCGTCTTGTCATCTCAACAACAATTCCAGGCTTCCGAATTCTGATTTTGCACGGGTTCACAGATCCATCTACGGGCTGTGGAAGACAGTCTAAACGAGGGCTAGACTTCATCGAAGAGACACAGACACCGGCGCCCAACTTTATCCTATTCGTAGAATAATCAGCCGGGGGACTAACTGCTTAGCCTGAGATCGGCTGCCGCAAACTTACGTGCTGCGGAGGACTCGGCTTACACGACGACTTGGTAAACTCAACCCGTGGAAAGAACCAGCTGCATCTGCATGGCATTATTCGTGGACATCACACAAGCAAGAGAGAACACGAAAATGGGTTCCAGCCATCCCTTCAGACGAACTTTGAGTATACTGCATGCTGCTCATCAAACCAGTTTTACTTTTTGACAGCAATGCGATCACCTCCTGGCAACAAGGTTATCGTTCAGAAGACAAGGGCGCATCTGACGACGGTTTCTTCAGGGGCGTCTTCGTGGCATCTCTCAACTGACGATGTCTCTTGGAAGCGATTAAAACGACAGGGTGTCTTCCTGATGGCCAGTAAACTTCTTACTGCGCTCTGGCCACCTAACGGATACACTGGCTGGCGGATTTGCAATCTTGAGACGATCATTCGGCTTTCCACCCTGGACGAGACAGTTCAAACCCCGTCGCTGGATAGCCTTGCCGCATCCTCCCATCATCTCTAAGCTCCTGATCTGCCCTGATACCTAGTCAGCCTTGTCACACAGGGCTCCTCGATAGCCTACGATTCTTTGGAGCCATTTCAGGACCTGGAAGGATGATCTGACTGTGGGCCTATCGTGGACTGAGAGGAACAAGAGGTGCTTGTCAGTGCCTAGGCCCAAGCGCACAGCACGTCGCAGGCGCACGCAGGCAACGCCCAAAAAACAAAAAATCGAGAACAACAAACTTTCCAACGCTCGGCGGCGCCCACCTTAGCAACAGCGCTCCGTGTCCCAGGAAGTCTGTTTCAATACGACACCTTCTAAGAGGGAGGGTGTTTGATTTCTTCCGGCTGACAGGACAACCTGTAAGCTCCAACAGCAGACGCATACGAGGCACTAGGGCGTGTCGTCGACCAGATCCCCCCGAACGATGACACCTCGAGCGGCAGACTTATTCAGCGTCGGCCCTAAGTAAGCTGCCAATTTCGTGTTACTTGGCGCGTCCTCTGTCAACCAACTTCCCAGATATGTGTGCGGCTTGCATTGTCTTCGCAATGTCGTTGCATGGTTGTATCAGGGAACACAATTGGTGTTTATGTCCGTGAGCGCACAAAGCTGCGAGACGAACGTATCCGTACGGAAACCTGTGCGACAATAGGCCCAAGAAGCGGTGGGAAAATGGACCAGGAAATAACCAAGATTTGATCAAATTACACCGGACAGCGCTGGCGTCACGCTGGATAAGCAGGCCTAGTGTGAGAAGGTTATTTCCTTGATTGTGGACCATGGTTGGTGGGAAGCCGGATGAGCAACGATGTCTCTGATCCTTTCATTTAAAACGAGAGACCCGTTTGATGTCAGAGTGGGGGATCGGTATATGCGTGGGCAGGGCGTTGTTAGCCCAGCGGTGCGGAGAGGATCCGCGACTGCAACGTCGTGTAACTCTCATTCGCTGACCGCATCGGCTGGGAGATTGAACTTCAAATGAAGCAATTTTCAGCCTGGTGACCGTTGGGCAAATCTTGGGGCGGCACTGGGCATCAGAGGGGACGTCCTCGTGTTACTCATCTTGAGTCTGGGCCAGTCCCATCTTTCAGAGGCGATTCGGATCCCGGCGGACCCAGTTTCTTGCAATTGGGGTCAATCCAGTTCTTGGATAACTTCAACGGCCACTTGCGACTTACTGTAGCGCAGTGACGGCTTCTCGGATTATTAGCGAATTGATCATTACATCGACGGACGAGGCTTGGGCCTCGGGGGGCCGACGACAACGAAGGCGAGAGGACGTGCGATATGACAGGGACGACCCTGAGGCTTGTTGCCCCCAGGCTGGG